TGTATACTCAAATAACCACACAGAAACTAGGATTTATTTAATTAACCTAGAGCACAATGCTGGGCAATGATTACTCCATCCTAAACCTCCAAGCCCACATAGCTTCTTCCCATTCAGAATTTCCAACATTATACTTTTTTAAAAAATATTTTTATATTAATTACAGTTTATTTATATTGTATCCCAGCTGTAGTTCCCTCTCATTCCCTCCTAATCTCACCCTCCCTCATCTCCTCCCATGCTCCTTTCCAAGTCCACTGATACAGGAGGTCCTCCTCCCCTTTCATCTGATCTTAGTTTATCAGGTCTCATCAAGACTGGCTGCAATGTCCTCCTCTGTGGCCTAGCTAGGCTGCTCTTCTCACGGGAGGTGGGGAGGTCAAAGAGCCAGCCACTGAGTTCATGTTAGAGACAGTCCCTGTTCCCCTTACTAGGGAAACCACCTGGATACTGAGCTGTCATGGGCTATGTCCAAGCAGGCATTCTAGCTTATATCCATGCATGGTCCTTGGTTGGAGAATCAGTCTCAGAAAAGACCCCTGTGCCCAGATACATTTGATCCTTGTGGAGCTCTTGTCCTCTCCAGGTCTTACTAAATCCCCCTTCTTCCATTTGATTCCCTGCACTCTGCCCAAGCTTTGGTTATGAGTCTCAGCATCTGCTTTGATACACTGCTAAGTAGAGTCTTTCAGAGGTCCTCTGTGATAGGCTCCTGTCCTTTTTTCTTGTTTTCTCCTACTTCCAAAGTCCATCCCATTTGTCTTTCTAAGTGAGGATTGATCATCTTACCCCAGGTCCTACTTCTTTCTTTAAGTGTACAGATTTTAGTATGTTTATCCTGTATTATATGTCTAATATTCACTTATAAGTAAGTGTATACCATGGAGCAGACCTTGAATCCAATCTGAAAATGGTTGATTATTCTTAAAACATCCATGCCACTATCTTGCTGGTAACAGATTATTTGGTCACACTGATCATTACTGTAGCTCACAACATTAGCAGCTGGATAAGACTGTTAATGAATTCTTAATCTCAATGACAAATATAAAAGCTTATGGTACTATGATAACTAGCCATCTAGGATTAGGCTTCTTACTCAGTATCAATTTGATTTCTACAAGTCCTGTGACCAGGGACTTACCTGGTTTTACCATCAAGTTCTGATACAAAACCAAGAGAAATGACAGAAGCCTCCATTTTATGATGGTGTGTGACATACCTCTGACCAACAACTTGAAGGGAGGTATTTTAAATTTTTTAAAGATGATTTATATTTGTGCTGCAGAAAACCTAGCATAGAAATTTAAGATATACACTGGGATAAAATATTTGTCAACCACATGTCTGAAAAATAATACACAGAGGACTTAAGGAAATCTCAAAACACCGTTTTGAGTATTAAGTTAAATACTTCAATTAGAAAGGAAACATTTCAAAGACAAATGGACTGAGAAAGAAATTAGGGAAACAATACCCTTTACAACAGCCACAAAACATATTAATTATCTTGGTGTAATTGTAAGCGAGCAAGTCAAAGACTTGTATGAAAAAAACTTCCAGTCTCTAAAGAAGAAAATAGAAGAAGATATCAGAAGATGGAAAGATCTCCCATGCTCATGGCTTGGCAGAATTAACATAGTAAAAATGGCTATCTTACCTAAAGCAATCTACAGATTCAATGCAATTCCCATCAAATTACCAACACTATTCTTTCCAGACCTTGAAAGAAAAATTCTTAACTTCAGATGGAATAACAAGAAACCCAGAATGACTGAAACATACTCTACAATAAAAGATCTTCTGGAGCTATCTTCATCCCTGATATCAAGCTGTACTATAGAGCACAGTAATAAAAATTTCATGGTACTGGCATAGAAACTGGCTGGTGGATCAATGGAATCGAATATTCAAGATCCAGAAATGAGTCCACAAACTTATAGATACCTAATTTTTCACAAAGATGCCAAAACCATACAATGGAAAAAGATAGCATCTTCAACAAATGGTGCTGGTCTAACTGGATATCCACATGTAGAAAAATGAAAATAGATCCACACTTATCACTCTGCATGAAACTAAAGTCCAAGTGGATCAAAGACCTCAAAATAAAACCAGTCACACTAAACCTGTTAAAAGAAAGAGTAGGGAAGAGCCTTGAACACACTGGCACAGGAGACCACTTCATGAACAAAACACCAACAGTACAGGTCTAAGAGCAACAATCAATAAATAGAACCTCATGAAACTGAAAAGCTTCTGTAAAGCAAAGGACACTGTCATCAGAACAAAACAACAGGCTACAGACTGGGAAAGGCTCTTCACCAACCCTATATCTGACAGAGAGCTAATATCCATAATATATAAAGAACTCAAGAATTTAAAAAGTAACAAATCAAATAATCCAATTAAAAACTGGGGTACATCGCTAAACAGAATTCTCAATAGAGGAATATCAAATGGCGGAGAAACACTTAAAGAAATGCTCAACATCCTTAGCTATCAGGGAAATGCAAATCAAAAGACCCTGAGATTTCACCTTACACCCATCAGAATGGCTAAGACCAAAAACTTAAGTGACAACACATGCTGGAGAGGATATGGAGAAAAGGGAACCCTCCTCCATTGCTGGTGGGAATGTAAACTTGTACAACTTTGGAATTCAATCTGGAGCTTTCTCAAACAACTAGGAATAGCACTTCCTCAAGATCCAGGTATACCACTCCTAAGCATATATCCAAAATATGCTCAAGTACACAACAAGGACATTTGCTCAACCGTGTTTGTAGCAGCTTTATTTGTAATAGCCAAAACCTGGAAACAACCCAGATGCCCTTCAACAGAAGAATGGATACAGAAATTGTGGTACATTTACACAATGGAATACTAGGCAGCAATTAAAAAGAAGGAAATAATGAAATTTGCAGGTAAATGGTGAGAACTAGAAAAGATCATCCTGAGTGAGGTATTCCACATGGTATATACTCACTTATAAGTGGCTATTAAACATATAATAAAGGATAAACATATTAAAATCTGTACACCTAAAGAAACTAATCAAGAAGGAGGACCCTGGGTAAGATGCCCAATCCTCATTCAGAAAGGCAAAGGTGATGGACATCAGAAGAGGGAGAAAACAGGGAATAGGACAGGAACCTACCTCAGAGGGCCCCTGAAAGACTCTACCCTTTAAGATATTAAAGCAGATGTTGAGATTCATAGCCAAACTTTGGGCAGAGTACAAGGTATATTATGAAAGAAGGGGGAGATAGAAAGACTTGGAGGGGACTGGAGCTCCATAAGGAAACCAACAGAACCAAAAAATCTAGGCCCAGGGGTATTTTCTGAGACTGATACTCTAACCAAGGACCATTCGTGGATATAACCTAGAACCCCTGCACAGATTTAGCCCATGGCAGTTCAGTGTCCAAGTGGGTCACTAGTAAGGGTAACAGGGCTGCCTCTGACATGAACTCAGTGACTGGCTCTTTGATCCCCTCTTCCTGAGGAGGGAGCAGCTTTGCCAGGCCACAGAGGAAGACAATGCAGCCAGTCTTGATGAGACATGATAGGCTAGGGTCAGATGGAAGGGGGAGGTCCTATCTGTGTATGGGGGGAGGGACATGGGAAAAGATGAGGGAAGGAAGGTTAGAGTGGGAGCAGATGAGGGAGGGGGCTACAGCTGGAATACAAAGTGAATAAACTTTAATTAATAAAATATAAATTAAAACAAAGAAAAGAGACATTTCACTAATGAGGCTATATGAGTAGCAAATAAACATTAAATGGTGTTTAACATCACTAATCATTAAGAAAACAAACAAACAAAAAAGAACTCCATGAATTTCATTGATAAAGTGCTTTCTTAGCATGAGTGTAACCATCCAAGTGTACTCAACTTGGATATATATAATTAAATACTGGAAATATTTCAGAAATATTGTTAAGAATATAACAATAAAACTTCTATCAACATAAAAGTTTTATAGGACTTTTCCTAGAATCTTTACATGTAAACAGGCAAACCTGGGCAAAAGAATATGTCCAAAATTTTCATATATATCTGTCTTGCTAAGTAGCCCTGGCTGGTCTGGTACTCCCTGTTTATCCCAAGTTAGCATCAAAGTAACAGCAATCTCTATACCACAGTCTCCAAAGTGCCACAACTGTAGGCATGCCACACTATACTTTGCTTACATTTTTTTACATTGTTCTATAATTCTGTAAGATGTAAGTCAAAAGAAACAAAGTAAATAATAGATAAAAATCTGCTCTGAAATTTGAAAATTTCTATAACTCTACAGTTATTTTAAGATAAAAGATGTTAGAGTCAGCCATGGTTTCTCACACCCATAACTGTAGCAATGAGAGGATTAAGGCAGGAAGTTTGATTTTTAGTTTAAGGGGAGCACAGGCTATGCATCCTGGCAAGCCTGGATGGCAGGATGAGACCCTGGTTCAAAATCAACAGAAGTTAAGTCTAAGGATGTAACTCAGTTACAGCATGTATGGCTCTCTGGGCTTGATCCAGATATTGATTTTAAAACATCTTTAACTGATTCTCAGTATAATAAAAACAAAAATTTAGACTATTAGAAACAAGTATTATGAGGCCAAGCATACACAAAGGGCACAATTTTACCTATGACGTGCAAAATTCAAAGTGGAATACAAACTATATTTATTATAGCCATAAGCCTCATTTCATTGAAAAAAAGACCAATTCTTTTTTTTCTGTTTAAGGATTCTGTGAATTGTTTTCCTTAGAAACAAAAATAGAAAGAGGAACAAAGTAATCTTTAATAGCCTGCATGTCATTTGAAAGTCTAAATATGTAAATAAATACCCTCTTCTGCTAAAAAATTCTGCTTTTGCTTATTCCCATAAAAGTTTTGTTGTTTCATGTGTTTATATGTGCTTTCTAATTATATTTTATGCCTTATTTGTTTGTTATTCTAATGCCCAGATTTTCTAAAATTGCTTATATTTCTCTTACAAAGACTTGGATTGGGAATCGAAGAAGAAAATACCGTTTAATGGGAATTGAAGTTCCACCTCCAAGAGGAGGCCCTGCTGATTTCTTTGAGCAGCCTGAGTCTGGTTCTTTGTCTGCACTCACACCAGGAGAGGAAGCTGGGCCTGAAGTAGGAGAGGATAATGACAGAAATGATGAAGTGTCCATCTGTTTGTCTGAAGCAAGCACTCAAGGTACTTTACTGTGCTTCCTAATAACAGCCTTTGGAAATTTGATGTAGTTTTTACTCGCTTTTCAGTGTATTGCACTTTAAGTCTAGAGTATTCAAAACGTATGACCAAGCATTTGAAAAGAAACATTTATTTTTTAGTGCTTCTATGTAAAAAGTCTTCCATATCAATTCATCACAAAACATATGTCTATCACAGTACTGATGCCCTACTTTTAAAATGTTAGTTATTACAACAGTCTTTATATGAGAAATAGATCAATGATTATATTTGAAGTGTTAGGAGAGAGCTTACAAAAGAGAATATGGTATATTATAATGAAAATAGGCTTGTGATCTGACGTACTAGGTGGCACTCAAAGCTTTTTTGCTAGCAAATTGAACAGTTTCAGGCAAAGCATTTAACTCAGCTCATTAGACTCCTTTTGTCATCCTGTTAAACCGGCTCATCTTTATAATACCTCTTAGTGCATCACTGAGTGAGACTTCATGTTGTAGCATAGATTAGTACCATTTACTCAAGAAGAATATTTTATTTGATTTCAAGCACAGAAATAAATATTTCTAATGTAATTTTATTAAAATTTTTATTAATATGTATTTTACATATCATAAAAATATTCTTTCTAAATATGCAATCCAGTTATTTTTAGTAAAGTTTATAGTTTTGTACCACTAAAATTTAATTTCAGATTTTTTTTATTACCCCAGGAAACTTCCCCTGTTTAGTCAGTGTCTCTTGTGTCCTCAGCTTCAGGCACACTAACCTGCTTTCTGACTATGTAAGTGTGTCTTTTCTATGTACTTTATCTGAATCTGATAATAAAATCGATAGCCTTTTTGTATCTGTGCTTTAGAAATTAAGAACCATTCACTTGCACATTTGCTGTTTCTTTTTCTATTTTTCATTGCTATCAGTTCATAATATTGGCAAATTATATTCTGTTTTAAGTATCTATTTTGCATTTGTATATGTGTGTGATCTATGTAGGTGTGTTTGCATGTGCGTAGGCACACATGAGCCAAGAGATCACTTTTCCAGGTCTCACCAGTTTGTTCTGGGAATTCCCTGCCTCCATCTCATATACTGTGCTGAAGTATTTTATTCACTGAGCCATCTCCAACTCCTTGTTTATTTTTGTCTCTTAACTTTACGATTCATAGATAGATAGATAGATAGATAGATAGATAGATAGATAGATAGATAGATATAGATATAGATATAAATATAGATATAGACATGCACACACACATACTTTGAAACAGCTGAATTGAATTCAGCTTGAATTCAGTGTACTGCAAAAACTAGTCTTTATACTCCTGATTCCCCCATTCTTTACCTCCCCATAGCTGGGATTGTTGCCTATTTAGACATGTCATCTTCAAAGGTGTCATTATTTGAGTGATATAAAATTTTATGTTAGGAGAATTACTGATTATATAAAATCATTTTTAATAATTAGGGCAATAATAAAATTTGGCCGTAGCCCCAATCACATAGAATACCTCAGAAGCTCCAATGTAGAGAGCATTATGGATCACTAGGAAACACTATCACCTCAGGCTGAAGTGTGATGTGAACAACTCCTGTTTTTTTTTGTTTGTTTTGTTTTGTTTTATTAGGGTAATAAACAAAGTATTAGTGGAATAGGTTTATCAAAGTGACATTATATAGGAAAACAAGATATGTTATTGAAATGATGACATTTGAATTTGATTATCTTAAATTAAAATGTCTCATTCCTTTTAAACCTTCTATCACCATCTCCTGTTTCAGATTTTTGGTAGTAGAATTTTGTGTATAACTTTTACATTATCAGACAGAGAAATATTTTCCTTTGTGGTTTCTGACTTTACAGTCCTAATTATAGTCTCTTCTTGCCCTACAGTTGAGAAAAGAAGCTCATATATATGACATCTTTATGGTCTCAGTTAATCAATTTTATATTAATTTCACTGAGAATTTAGTTTGCCTCAAGATGTATGAGGAAAGCACCTAACTTTACTTTTCCAAATAGTTAAGCAGTTGGTATCCATTATTTATTTCACAATTCATTCTTTAGTTCGTTGCAGCTTTGAAAAATAAAATATGTATTTGTATGTATGCATATGTAGGTACACACATATATATATACACATATACACATGAGAAAATTATGGGCTTGAATTTGTTCCATTTATCTGTTTTTAACTGTGGCTTTATTAAACCTCTTGAAAACTGGCACAGGTTTTAGTTCAAGTCTAGACGAACTGTAAAATGTATGTACATGTGTATATAAATATATATTTACATAATATATATTTTCTCCTCAAAATTTATTCAAAAATTTTATTCCCAGCACATTAAAAAGATAGACTATCATTAGGAAGACTATTTCAGTTTGAAGTTAAGAGTTTTAGGTAATAGCAGGACATACATAGAAAACTGTTGGGTAATATTGGTCTGAAACTCAAAACAGAGCTTGAATAATAAGAAGAAACATGATAATCTACCAAACTGAAGCCAATTAATACCTACTCACAGAAGTAGAGTTTTAATTAAGAAAATTAAAATAAAAAACAAAACAAGACAAGACAATAGAGAAGGATTGTGTGTTGAAAAATATTTATATTCTGAGGCCCAGGAAAAAAATTAGCCACTGAAAGAACATTCAGGCACAACAGAACTGGATAGTATGCCATTACTAAAACCAGGGAAAGAAAAAGATTTCAGAATTAAGAGGGGTCATTATCTCAAAGATCTCATAAAAATTGAATCAGTCTTGAAGAGGTTCTTTGTGAAAGCAATTAATTGCATGCCCAGGGGGCAGGCAGACAAATTGTAATGGGTAGAATAATGAAAGGGGTAGAAAAGCTGTCACTTTTGAGAGGACAATGAATTTTAAGTCCAGGTGTTTGAAAGATTATCAAATGTGAATATTCTCTCTCTTCGTTTCTTTCTTTTCCCTCTCCTTTCTCCATTCTTTTGCCTCTTTTTTCCTCTTCCCTCTTTCTCACCTATGGTTGCAAATGATAACAATGCCTAGGAAAACTGATGCAGACATAAAAATCACCAAGAAAAAAAGTGTTTCATGATTTCTAAGGTCATTTGTTCTCATATAGTTGGTCCAGTAAATACATGTTTATATTTTGTTACTCTTTACAAAATAAAATGTGCCTGGTGATCCCTGGGTAATTCCCAATAATTATTTGATGGGGACTTTAGAGCTTAATGCCCAACAGCTCTTTGAAGTGAGTAGAGAAGGGTTTGTGTGTTTCTCTGAAAGGGCAGGATAGCTATGAGGAAATATTCTGATGAAGCGAAGTACATAGGCCCCTGAGTGCAGAGTTCCGTTCCCAACTACCACTTCCCCTCCTGAAACAGAATTTCAGAAAATAAGCACTTAATTGAAAAATGGTAAATGTTAATTTAAAGTCTGTGTTAATGATCCACATTTAATAAACTGCTGCTCCTGTACTCACATCCTTTGTCATATAATAGTGTGTTGTCCAGATAGCAGGCATAGTAATCAAGACCTAATGAGATAAAGGAAAAAGTGAATTTAATGTATGATTCAAAAACACAGGATAAGAAGTAAGCAATTGCCTAGATTTTCTCTCAGTGGCTTATTTTTCACAACCGCACAACAACCTTTTCGTTCTCATCAGTAATTGCCTCAGAAAAGCATTTTCGAACACTGGAAAGAGCCCCTTTGGTGCTGTTCTCTCCTAGGTCTGTAAAATTTCTTCATTTTATTGATGGACAATACTAATCTGGCTGGGTTGACTATGTGATTCCTTTGTTAAAACTAATTGTATCATCTACCTGAGACTAATACCCTACCTCTACAATATATTGACCTATATTCTTTTACAGTTTGTGAAAATGTAGCTCAGTTATGTGTATGCTGAGATTTACATTTATTCCCTCTTAGAGATTTAGAGATATTTCAAAATATAACAAATAAAATTTGAGTCCTTATACACATATGTTAATTTAACATTAGAGTGCTTTAAATGTCTACAAGAGGGAACTATATTTAAATTAGTGTGTCTATGTTACAATACATGTAAAAAGGAACACATGAAAACAATATACAGTTTTCCTTCAGGGTCTTTGAAAGGAAAAATATTTCCCTTCAAATTGCAAAAAGAAACAGGCTTTTCCAGCTAACAAAAAGTTTTCATGATACCTTAACAGTTTCACATATATTCTGAACAAGCATGTAGTTCCATGATACAGACTTTCTTATTTACCTCAGTTCTACCTTGCACTTCATCTTCCTCTCCCCCATTTCTTTTCTTCTTTCCTGGAAGGGAGTGAACTTAGGCATGGCTGAATTGATTTGTGAAAAAAAAAATCTACATGGCTTTCATCCCTTGAGCAACTTGGAAAATTCAACAACAACAAAATAATAATACCTGAGTAACTCAGTTCCTTAATTTCAAGTTTGATTTCTATCAAAATTTATGATTGAGAAATTTTAAAGATTTTCACCATCCTGAGAGTCAAATTGTTTAAAGTATAGTAATAATTAATATTTACAACATTGCATTTATAACATTGCTTCTTTTACAGCTGTATCTTAATATGTAAAGTGTATGTGGTATGTGCCTCAAAAGATAATTTTTCATGGCTTACTTAGAATTTATATCTACCACATAGAGTGCCCTCTAGAGTTTTTAGGGATTAGCTCTATTTTTTTTTAAATATTTCAATTACCAAAGCTGTTTTTGTTGTTGTTGTTTTTTAAGGAGTAACCAAGACTCAATGACAGTGCTTATGTTATGTTAATGTTGCAGGGATATATGTATAGAGAGAGAAGAAAACATTCCTTATTTAGCTTATCACATTACACCTTTTTCTTTCAAAGGCTTCAAAATAGCTTTTAGTTAAATTTTCTAAAATAATCAAGCCATACACAAATGTGCTGTCACTGAACCAGAACTCTGTCTAAAGTTGTGAGTAAATCTGAAGAAACATGTACAGAAATCCTATGAGGAATAGTACCAGTAATGATCTCGTTAATGAGCAATAGAACCCCTCTTCTGAGACCACTATTTCTTACCAGATCTGCAGCGAAATCGAATGCCAATCTTCCCTCTTTCCATTTCACTTCATCACTAATTATGTTCGACTTGAGATGTCTGTGATTGGAGATGTCGAAATAATGAACCAGTAAACTTTCCTTTGTCTAGGAATGGTTGTTTTATAAAATTTTAAATTGACTTTCCTTACATTTCAGAAATAAATGAGATCATGAAATGTATTTTCTTTCTTTCAGCCTGGCTTATTTCACTTAGATAACATCCCCCAGGTTGATCCGTGTTGCAGCAAATAGCAGGGCAAGAAAGGTCAAATATAATAAAAGAGTGGATTTTTACATGGTGAGGGAAGAATGGAGAGATGTAATTCAGAGGACACAAAGTTACATTGTGTGTGATGAATAAGGAAAAAGATCTAATAAACAGCATGAAACCATAGTTAATGATAGTGTATTGTGTATTCAGGATTTTCAATAAGTGATGATAGCAGCTGTTGCCTGGGGGAATGGGAAACTGTGAGATGATAAATATGTTAATTTGTTTCATTGTAGCAATCTTTTTGCTATATACATATATATTATGTTATATTCCACAGGTACATACAATAATATTTTGTTTAAAATGTGTGGTAGAAATAATAAAGTTAAACTGAATTTATACAAAACATTTTATTGAAATTCTCCTGAAGTTTCCTTGGCTATCATATACTTGAATTCTCACAAACAATTTCTTTATCCAAATAATCTCCATGAAATTGCAGTGTAAGAAAACAGACACAGAGATAAACACTGCTACTTTATTTTTAAGGCACCTGGGTGAGGCTAATATAAAATAAAGAGACAAAAGGGTCATGTATGTAGACACACCTAGCGCCTTGAAGCAGACACTTGCCATAGCTCACAGAGAGATTTTTTTTAGACTGTTTCATCTCTCAGTATTATATTCTTTTGTATTTGAAAATACTGAATATGATCAGGAAAAATACATGACTATTGTTGAAAATGTTTGGAATTACTATGGAAATGGAAATAATGTTACTCCTGAGAAAAATCACCCTCTATAAACAAGGGCAAGGGATATTTTTGTGTTATCTCTTTGCATATGTACGCGGACGTGCAAAAGTGAGCACATTTGTACAAGTATTGAAATAATCCTCCATTTTTATATAATTGGAAATCTTCATTTATAATTTTATATCATTTATTGAGAAATTATTTGTTGATTTTATCTTATTATAATGAACAAATTAAGTATGGTAGTCAAGGCCTGAAAATCCATCATTTATGATGTAGAGACAGAAAAATTATTGAAACTTTAAGGTTAATCTTGTCTATACAGTGACAGCCAGGACTATGTTGCAAGAACTTATCCACCAAAAAAAAAAAAAGAACAGAAAAGAAAAGAAAGGAAACAAAAAGAAAAAAAATGAACACTATTATAAAAAAAAGGGTAACAAAACCAAATTTAAAAACTTAAAAATAAAAGTAAAAATCACTTAAAATTATTTATAATTCTATCCAGGGATAACAATGGAAACACTTGGGCACAAATAGTGACATTCTTTTTATTTCCTTAAAAACTTATGCATTCCTGTTACAAATAAAAGATTATGTGTACCTATGTCATAGATTTTATCTTTCAGGATTTTTTTTTCATTTGCAAATAGTTCATTATACTTATTTTCAGTAACTTCATACTAAGTGACTTCCGTATTATCCATCATTGAAGATATAAAGTTCTTCCATCTTTTCTGTTATAATTATCACATTATTAATCATACTTGTATTTCCACAGATCCACATAACTAAAATATATATGACTAACTAAATAAGATATGAATAAAATTCACAATAAAGCACACTTGTGATTTACAACTTTGTATGTCTTTGGCAAAAGAGGCATTATTTAACTATTCTTTTAAAATATAATAAAGTTCTGAGATACAAGATATGAACTCTTTACTTTTTTTTCTTATAGAGGAGTCAAATGAAGTTATTCCAAATGAGACCAGGGCACATAAGGATGAAGAGCACCAGACAGTATCCGCAGATAATGTGGTATGTACAGTTTAAAATTCTTTCCTCATTACAGAATGGATTTCAAGGACACCATGCCAGTTTATGACAACATCTGTATTGTCATAATAAAGTCTTGCTTTACTCTCTAAACCAAAACAGAACTGTTTCCTATGAATTTAATGGATCTTTCAGTGCTCAATAAGTAATTTTAAAGAGTTCTTTTTTAACTTTAGGATATTTACAGATATAAAAACCTAATACTTATTTCAAAGATGACTTTTTTATATAACAAGTTACTTTCTTCAACACACTAAGCAGGGAGCAGATTTCATTGGACAGATGGCAGAAGGGAAATGGAGTTTAGCTGAAGAGCATGAAGGAAACCTTTGTTAGTACTAGTGCTTGCATCCAAGGGTTTCTTTGCTTAAAAGATACCTATCTATACTACATTTGGGCCCTTCTTCTTTTTTCTGATCAAATTGGGCTCTGTTAATTGCTTTCAAAATCACAGCAAAGAAGGAAAAACTGTTATAAGAACTTTAATAGCAGCAGAGACAGGCTATATGAGTTTGTAAAAATATAAGTGTATAGTACTGTTCCTTTAGCAGCTGTTTCAGCATAATTTGTTTAAATTTTGGCCCAATAACATGATATATAAATTAAGAGAGTATTAAACAAAGTCAAACACAAAGAAAAATTCCATCATATTTCCGTTTTTGCTTTTGATTCAATGGTCTATGCATGATTTTCATTAAAACATACCTTATAACATATAACAGACATTTCTGCCAAAGCAACTGTGATGTCACAATTTATTCTAGCTTCTACGACAAATTTTATTTCTTTGACACTATGATCCTGAACATCGTATAAAAATGGAACACATAAAATGTACATTTGGGCTCATATTTGTTAAATACCAACAATATCGAACATTGTTATATATATATTATATATAAATATAAATATATATATATATATATATATATATAATAGAGTTCAGGATTGCATGTCATTGATTTTTTTCTTTTCTTTTTTTAATTTTTAATTTTTTATATTAATTACAGTTTATTTACTTTGTGTTCTGGCTGCAGCTCCCTCCCTCATTCACTCCCACCCTCCCTTCCCCTTCTCCTCCCATATCCCTCTCCAAGTACACTCATAGGGGAGGTCCTCCTCCCCTTCCATACGACCTAGTTTATCAGTTCTCATTAAGACTGGCTGCATTGTCCTCCTCTGTGGCCTGGCAAAGCTGCTCCTCCCTCAGGGGGATGTGATCAAAGATCCAGCCACAGAGTTCATGTCAGAGACAGTCCCTGCTCCCCTTACTAGGAAGTCCATTGGAGACCAAGCTGCCAAGGACTACCTCTGTGAAGAGGTTCTAAGTTATTACCATGAATGGTCCTTGGTTGGAGTATCAGTCTCAGAAAAGACCCCTGTGCCCAGATATTTTGGTACTTTTGCTCCTGTCCTCTCCAGGTCTTACTAACTCCCCCTTCTTTCATAAGATACCCTGCACTCTGCCCAACGTTTGGTTATGCGTTCCGGCATCTGCTTTTGTAAAGTCTTTGTGGTAGGATTTTAGTAGTCCCAGTTCAAGATCGTGTTTGATTCTTCTAAACACTAAATTCAACAGGCATATTGAAAACTTAGGTTTGATTTTGAGGCAGTCATTTTTAAGAAAGTGGTAAATAATCACTGTTTTCCACAATGAAAGCAATGATTTCCACTATTTTAATATTTTAAATCTCACCAAATATCTCCTTCTGCTTGAGATTGGAATTATAGTGTATAAATGTAAACAATTATTTACAATTAAAATATATTTTCCCCTAAAGATATGTTCATTTTCAGCCTGAATTTCTCTGCATTGAATCTCCTCAGCAACAGACAGCTGAAAATACTGAATGAAGTCATGGCGTGATATGACTCATAGTCACTTAAGCACCTAATTTTCAAGAACAATTGATTTTCAGAGATAAAACTTCAAACTTTCAAAGGTTGATCTCTTTTGCCTGTAACATTTGAGTGCCCCAATTATTCATGGATGACAAATCAAAGACATATAAGACTATTTATATGCACAATCTATACAATGGCCATCAGTGTCTTCTTTTCTTAAATGCCTAGCTCTGTTTTCCAAGAATCAATCCAAATCGTTAGAAAAAAAAAAAAAATCTAAGAACCTTACAACAGGAAGTATGATGTGATTAATACTTAAATTTATAGTGAGTATAATAGAAAACAATACATCAGGCTCTTCTCCATGCAGTGGGAGAAGGCAGTTTCACTGCAGCTCTCCTTATGCCTCATAGAGTGCAGGTCAGAAACATTATGATGGTGTTATATGTTCAGAGGCAATATAGCAAGTACAGTCATTCAACGTTTGTTTGTGACTTTCAATATATACAAAAAATACCAAGTAGAAAGTATGATTTCATATCTGCTTACAACATGCTGCTATTAATGTGCTTGTTCTTAAAAGACTGTCTAGTGACTAAATCTGGCTTAGCTTCCTCCTTTTTAAAACTTTCTTTTGGGTTGGCGATGTTTAAATGTACGGTTTTTTCCACCATGACTGCATTTGCTTTTTACATGCAAAGGAATAAATTGAATTGATTTTATGTTTTTTTTTAACTTTCTTTTTAAAAAAAGTGCTTTCTGATTAAAGAATTTGCTTTGCTGTCTTTATTGTAGTTTATTGGTCATTCTTTTCATCAGCACTGAGCTGTATTGTTTATCATTTGAGAAATATTCAAGTTATTATCTACTGTGCAGAAGATACTGCACATGCTTTGCTGTGACTTAATTCTGAAGCTAAGGGAGCATCTCTCTGCCTCTGTCCTCTCTTTGCTGTGTTTGTTACTGTCTTGGGAAGAAAACAAATCACCATGCAATTTTCATCATTATATCATAGATGTCTGCTTCCAATTTTCTAGCTAATAGAGCGCATTAAATATGTGAATTTTTAGACATTGTATTTTCCTTTGGGTTGCATGCCATATGTTAACATTTTTCATTATCAGAAGAGTCTTGTCTAGACAGAAAAGGAGCCCGTTCGTGTGTGTGTGTGTGTGTGTGTGTGTGTGTGTGTGTGTGTGTGTGATTAAAATATACTACCCTTACTAAAAACTAGTTCCTTATCACTGGAAGGAAGTATCACCAATAAAATCACCAATTAGAGATATAAGTGTTGACACAGATGCTGTGTTTAACTCTTACGAGCCAATTTTCAAAGTTTAGTCCAAATAACCAAGATCACTCTATCACCATACTAAATATTGAGTAGGTATGTTGTATACCTTGTATGTATTGATCTGATATTTGTGAAAGTTTCTCTGCTTATGTTACAGAAAATAGAAATTATAGAAGAAGAAAGTGACATGATTAGCAATTCAGAGGTAGAACAAGTGAATTCTCTCCTGGACTACAAGGTAATGATAATTTCTAGTTTTGAATAACTAAGGGAAGTTATTGAGAGAAAAAAGATTTATAGTGCTTGTTATTTTTTCCAGCTGATAGACTGGACCTCTGTACTGATTTTTCTTGGGCATGTTGAAAATTAGTGAAAATGTTGGGTACTTTATTATTTCTGGCTTACTTGGATGTTATGGTTTTAAAGTATTTACTGTCTCAAAATTAGCTTTGATGGTAGTCAGCAAGTGAGAACAACAGATAGTGTCAGTTAGTGTGGAATTTATGGTAAAGACAGTGTTTTCTTAATGCTGGTAATGTAGCTAGAGGTTTGGACATGGAATTCCAGCTATGTGTGGGAATGAGGCCAGAACATCACTTTAGCTCAAGAATTTGAAATCAGGCTGGGCAACATTAAAAGATCTTGCCTTAAACAAAATGAACACAACAGTAACATAGAAGGGGGAAGTAATAAAAGGGAGAGGTTCTTTTCCAGTGTCCATTGACAATTTTATATTGGATTGTGATTTCATCCAAGACTATACCTGATACCGGTTTTATGAAAATTTTAAACACAATTCCCAGTGAAAATATGGGATGATTGATTTAGCTATTCTAGGTTTCTTATTGTTCCATATGAATTTGAGAATTTTTCTTTCAAGGTCTGTAAAGAAGTGTGTTGGTAACTTGATGGGAACCTCACTGAATCTGTATATTTATTTTGGTAATATGGCCATTTTTACTATGTTAATCCTGCCAAGACATGAGCATGGGAGATCTTTCCATCTTCTGATACTTTCTTCAATTTGTTTCTTCAGAGACTTGAAGTTTTTTTCATACAAATCTTTGACTTGCTTGCTTAGAGTTACACCAAGGTACTTTATGTCCTTCATGGCTATTGTGAATGATGTTGTTTCCCTAATTTCTTTCTCAGCCTTTTTGTCTTCTGTATACAGGAGAACTATGGATTTTTTGAGTTAATTTTGTATCCAACCACTTTGCTGAAGGTATTTATCAGCTGTAGGAGTTCTCTGGTAGAATTGCTGGGGTCACTTTTGTATACTATCATATCATCTGCAAATAGTGACACTGACTTCTTCCTTTCTGAATTGAATCCCTTTGATCTCATTTAATTGTCTTATTGCTCTAGCAAGGACTTCAAGAACTATGTTGAAGAGATGGAGAGAGTGGGCAGCCTTGTCTTGTCCCTGATTTCAGTGGGATTGCTTTAAGTTTCTCTATGTTTAGTTTCATGTTGGCTATAGGGTTGCTGTATATTGCCCTTACTATGTTTACATAAGTGCCTTGTATCCATTTGTTGGGTCTTTGTGAGGCTTAGGTGTCAAGGTGACTGTGGTTTCATAGAATGGGTTTGGTAATGTTTCCTTTGTTTCTACTTTGTGGAATAGTTTGAAGAATATTGGTGTTATCTCTTCTTTGAAGATCTGGTAGAATTCTGTGCAGAAACCAAGTGGCCCTGGGATTTTTTTGGGTGGGAGGACTTTTGATGACAGCTTCTATTTCCTTAGGGGATACAGGACTATTTAATTTATTTACCTGATCTTGCTTCAGCTTTGGTAAGTGGAATTGATCAGGAAAATTGTCCATTTCATTTAGATTTCCAAATTTTGTTGTGTATAGTCTTTTGACATGAGACCTAATGATTGTTTAGATTTCCCCAGTTTTTGTTGTTATGTCGCCATTTTCACTTCTGGTTTTATTGATTTAGATAGTGTCTTTCTGCCTTTTAGTGAGTTTAGCTAAGGGGTTGTATATCTTGTTGATTTTCTCAACAAACCAGCTCTTGGTTTCATTGATGCTTTGAATTATTTTATTTGTTTCTAATGTATTGATTTCAATTCTGAGTTTGATTATTTCCAGCCATCTACTCCTCTTGAGTGTGTCTGATTCTTTTTTTTCTAGGGCTTTCAGGTGAGCCATTAACTTGCTTATATGAGATGTTTCTAATTTCTTCTTGAAGGCATTTAATGCTTAAAACATTCGTCTTAGCACTGCTTTTATTGTGTCCCATAAGTTTGGGTATGTTGTGCCTTCCATCCCTGATCTCAAGCTGTACTATAGAGCAACAGTAATAAAAACTGCATGGTACTGGCATAGAAACAGAATGGTGGATCAATGGAATTGAACAGAAGACCCAGAAATAAACCCACACACTTATAGACATCTGATTTTTTACCTAGATGCCAAAACCACACAATGGAAAAAATATAGCATCTTCAACAAATGGTGCTGATCTAACTGGACATCTACATTTAGAAAAATGCAAATACATCTGTACTTATCACCCTGAACAAAACTAAAGTCCAAGTGGATCAAAGACCTCAACATAAAACTAGACACACTAAACCTGTTAGAAGAAAAAGTAGGGAAGAACCTTTAACTCATTGGCACATGAGACAACTTCCTTAACAGAACACCAACACCACAGGCTCTAAGAGCAACAATCAATAAATGGGACCTCATGAAACAAAAAAGCTTTTGTAAAGCAAAGGACACTGTCATCAGAACAAAACAACTACCTACAGATTGGGAAAGGATCTTCACCAACTCTGTATCTGACAGAGGGCTGATATCCAGAATATATAAAGAACTCAAGAAATTAAACAGCAACAAATCAAGTGTTCCAATTAAAAATGCGGAAGAGAGCTAAATAGAGAATTCTCAATAGAGAAATGTCGAATGACAGAAACACTTAAAGAAATGTTCAACGTCCTTAGTCATCCTAGAAATGAAAATCAAAATGACCCTGAGATTTCACCTTATACTTATCAGAATGGATAAGATCAAGAACTCAAGTGACAACGCATGCTGGAGAGGATGTGGAGAAAAGGGAACACTCCTTCATTACTGGAGGGAATGTACGCTTGTACAACCACTTTGGAAATCAATTTGTCACTTTCTCAGACAATTAGGAATAGTGCTTCCTCAAGATCTAATTATACCACTCCTAGGGGCATTTATCTAAAATGTGTACAAGTATACAAGGAAATTTGTTTGACCGTGTTCGTAGAAGGTTTATTCATAATAGCAAGAATCCTGAAACAATCCAGATGTCCATAAACTGAGGAATGGATTCCGAAATTGTGATACATTTACACAATGGAATACTACTCAGCAATTATAAACAAGGAAATCATGAAATTTGCAGGCAAATGGTGGGAACTAGAAAAGATTATCTTGTGTGTGTTATCCCAGAAACAGAAAGAAACACAAGGTGTATACTTACTTATAAGTTGATATTAGACTGTAATATAGGATTGTCATACTAAAATCTATACACCTAAACAAGTTAAGCAAGAAGGAGAACCCTGAGTAAGATGATCAATCCTCACTTAGAAAGACAAATGGGATGGACATTGGAAGTAGGAGAAAACAAAAAAACAGGACAGTAGTCTACCACAGAGGGCCTTTGAAAGACTTTACCCAGCAAGGTATCAAAGTAGATGATGAGACTCATAGCCAAACCTTGGGCACAGTGCAAGAAAACTAATGAAAGAAGGGGGATACATAAAGCCCTGGAGGGGACAGGAACTCCACAGGAGAGCAATAGAACAAAAATATCTGGGCCCAGATATCTCTTCTGGGACTGATACTCCAACCAAGGACCATTCATGGAAATAACCTTGAACGCCTGCTGAGATGTAGCCCATGGCAGTTCAGTACCCAAGTGGGTACCTCAGTAATGGGAACAGAGGCTGTCTCTGACATGACCTCAGTGGCTGACTCTTTGACCACCTCCCCGTGAGGGGGAAGCAGCCTTGCCAGGCCACAGAGGAAGACAATGCAGCCAGTCCTGATGAGACCTGAGAGTCTAGGGTCAGATGGAAGTGGAGGAGGACCTCCCCTATCAGTGGAATGGGGAAGGGCCATGGGTGGAGAAGAAGGAGAGAGGGCAGGACTGGGAGGGAAGGAGAGAGGGGGCTATAGCTGGGATACAAAATCAATAAACTGTAATAAATTTAAAAAAGAAAATATGGGATGAATATGAATAAAAGTGAGATTTTCTTAATGTCACTTATTACTAAATTAGAACGCATTCTTTTATAATGTGTCATGCATAATTTTGTTTTTACTCAATTTTAACATATACTATCAGTCTGTTTATTGATATGTTTGTTGTATAGATGGACAAGTAGTCTTCCCATGTTATTCGGCAGCCTATCTTACTAGGAAACTTCAGAATTTCTGAAATTTTAGCACACAGTGCTTCTTTCTAAATCCAAAGTTTCTTTTTGTGGAGCATAATCAGCATTTACAGCTTATGATAGTAACAAAGACCACCATTTAATTAGAAAACAGCTGTCACTTTTCTCAAGAAAATCCTTTCTCTTTTAGCATAGTATAACTGAAATTAATGCTATTGTACACATTGTTCTCCTAATGTTCCTAATTTGTCAAGCTTTAACATATTGAGTGTTATAAACAAAGGGGAAAATTGTCTTTTGACTTTTATTTGCTAAGTGGTCAAAGAGAACAATAAAATTCTGCATTTAAACTATACTTAAGGCTAGATGTGGTAGGTCACACCTGTAATCCCAGCACTCACTGGGCTGAGATAGAAGGAGTTCCATGAATTCAAGGCCAGCCCAGGATATATAAAGTGATTTTACCTTAAAAGTGAATAAATCAATTTTCAATAAAGAAATAAAACATTTCAACCAGCTAAATTATAAAGTTACTAGTTTTGATTTAGAAGAGATCCTGATAATAACTACTCCATGTTCATATAATACTTCTAAATACTGAGTTCAGGATTAAAATGACTCTGCAGACCAAGTCACTACTTGGCACAGGCTGTGGAAATTTCAGGCGAGACGACTGACTTATATAGTCGTTAAGTGTGCCCCACTTAGCACTCTTGAACAGGTTAAATGGGGTTGGGCTCAAAACTTAGAGGATTCTTTCCAAGACCTCTCCCCTTTTTGGTGCCAGTCCATTTGAGATGATTTGCAACAAAAGAACAGGGAAGGCAGAGCAGAAAAGTCAGCCCCAAAATGCC